TTCTTATATAATATAATTATTTTACTATATATAATATAATAATATAAATATTATATAAATAATAGAATAATTATCTTTATAATCATCTTTATTAAAAATATTTTGATTATCTTTATTAGATAATATAGTATATAAATTTATTTATATAAAAAAATAATCTAATAAAGACTTTTTAATTTTTTAATTTACTATTTAAAAAGTTAATAATTAATTTTTAATATATCAGATTTATTAAACAAATATATAATTTTTTATCTACTTATTAATATTTTTAATTATTTATATTTTTTTAATTCTAAAATATAAACTTATTTATTTTCTTATATAATTAAATTTAATTATTTAACTTTTTATTAAATATTTTATATAATATTACTATTAATTCTATATTTTAATATAATTACTTTATATATATTATTATTATTTAAAATATTTTATAAAAAATTAAACTATATTATATTATTTTTTTTATATAAGATTAAAATAAATTTTATTATTATTTATTTATATTTAAAAAATTTTTTAATTTTTTAATTTTTTATTTTTTATTATACTAGTTATAGTATTTTTAATATTTTATTTTAATACTAATTTATTTATATTAAATAGTTTTAAAATCTTATTATTAAATAATTATTAATTTTAATAATTATAAATAACTATAACTATAATATTAATAAAAATTAATTTAATATATAAAAAACTTTATAAAATTTATAAAATTATTTATTATAATTAATTTTATTTATTATATTGACTATTAAATACTATAATTATTAATATTTATAAGTTTTAATATCTATTTATAAAATAATAAAAAATTTCAATTAATTAATTTTTTAAATATTTAATTTTTTAAAATAAGTTTTATTAATAAATTAAATTTTTACTAAATTATAAGTAAATTTTATGATCAAAAAGTTTAGTTTATATATGATATCAGTATAAAAGAAAGCAAGAATTAAGAGAAGAGAAATAAGCTGATTAATCATACTTAAACTGCTTAACATATAAAGAAGTGATTTTATAATTGAAAACTCAATATTGAAAGAAATTTCCTACCTTGAAGAAATGATATTCTACTTTCATCTAATTAGACTAGCTGAAGCTTATTTGGGATAAATTACTAATTATCATATATTACTATAAATTACCACGTAATTCAACGCCAATATTACCGTAATATCAAAACATCACAAAACGATTGGTGCATCCAATGCTCAGTGCTTCTCTCACCAAACTCTCATATTTTGGTAGGGGTTGCCAATCCTTTTGGGGTGACTACACACGACCGCGTATGCTTAACCCCCTCAACGGAGAAGTTACCTCTGTTCACCCCAGGAAACTGGGAGTTGAATCTCAAGTGCTAATCAGACTTTGAGACCGCAGGATGGAGATGGATTGGTATAATTACCTGCAAGATTCTTTAGCCTTCCAAGCGTCTAAAACGTTTTAAGCAATGGCCCTACATTAACTATTAATATGAGTCAAAATGAACATAAGATCGATTGCAACGAACTTGGCTCATTATTGTGCATTTCTTACTCAATGTACAGTGTGCACAGCAAGTGCTAAATGGGCCTGAAACAGTCTTTTAATTTGTCTGCCCCTCACGCGTTTTCTTCAAAAAAGAAGCCGTTCTTTCTCTTCCCTATAACATCTAGGGATTAGAAAGTGCTTCGAAAGCGGGGGAGGGGTAAAGACGCTGCAAAATACAAGATTGATAATATTTATGCTATTATCATTATTATCATCATTATTGTTATACGAATGGACCTCTCTTAAGGATGTTCATACTGCATACGGTCGTTCATACATCAAAAGGAAAACACAATGCTTTATACCTGAACAAGCATCGCGATGCAATTAGAGCTATGTAACACAATGTAAGTAGTGCGGATGCCTGGGCAGTCTTATCTTCTCCCAATGACAGATATATACACAAATACAATATGCCATTAGTGTCTTCCCCAAATTAAACTATCTGATAGGGAATTTAAAATGTGAGAACAACGGCAGCAACGGCAAGGACACCGACAATGTTCTG